ATACTTCATTATAGTTTTTTAAGACAAAGCTAATTGAAAGGGGCGCCGAGCAGAGTTACAACCATGGATTACAAATAATTACTTTTTTTCTTCTGCAGTTCGGCATCCCCTCCAGCAGATGGAGCTCTAGGCAACYGCCTAGTTCACCTATGCCAAGAGCCGGCTCTGCTGTGAAGCTCCCAATGGTCAGTTCTGGTGGAAACAGGAAAGTTGAGGTGCACATTTAATTCTGCCGTGATTTGGGCAGACATGGTTTTATGTTTTTTGGATACAATCTGGGTTAGCAGCCAAGCATCCCTTTCAAATAGCTTCCTCTTGCGTCCACAGTTAATCCTGTTGGATGTGGTTCATCCTTCTTGGTGGAATGCTGACGTGGATACTGTGGCTCTTGATAAATCACAAAGACTTGCTGTCTTGGTCACAGAYGYWCCARCAAGACGTGCACCAACAATTTGTCCTCTTTTGAACTCTGGTATGTTACCCATAACGTTGTGTGCATTGCAATAATTTGAGCAAAACTGTGCTCAATTGAACCTTAACACTCTGCTCTTACTGGTGCAAAGTGCAATTAATGAAGATTGGCCACCAGGCTGGTCCAATTTAGCCATGAAACTTCCCACATTAAAATGACAGATGTTTCAGTGTCATTGTCCAACCCCTGTAAGTTATAACACATTTTGACATGTCCTTTGACTATGACCGTTTTCAACAATAAACCTGCTGATAAAGATGATATAATCCAAGAACAAGTTTAATGCACCTGTATCCACAAATCAACATCAGCAGTCATCAATCAGAACTTCACAGCAACAGAACCTTCATCTCCTGTCATCCTGCTGTCCAAGGCCAGGACAAATGATGTTTTTCAAAACCATCTAAATAAAAAATTAAGTGTTAAGAAAAACACCACCAGCTATGTTTACACTGTGAAAGAATGGATTAGTCTGAATAACTGATTATTATTACAAGTATTCTGTACTCAAGAACAGAATATTTCATATCAGGTTTGACCAAACTGAACATGTCTAATTCTGAGTCCAGAAACCAGAAAATCTGTGTAATGGTCCTTTAACAGTCAGATCGGATGCTGTGAATCAGAAGCCTACTGAAGCGCCATTGGAAAACTCCACATTCATGTTTGTTAACCAACAGCTGCAACAATCTAAGCTGCATATAAGTGAACAGTGGTTACTTTACAAGGCTAATTTTTGGTCTTAACTATCTATTAGTTATCAGTTACTGCTGATAGCAGGACGCTGCAGTGTTAACCTGACTCCAAACATTACTCATCTACTCATAATTAAAATGTTCATGTTTTCTTGTTGATAGTTACATTGTACATCAAAAGTAGATTAAGTGAACATAAGCATACAGGTGCTGGTCATAAAATTAGAATATCATGAAAAAGTAGATTTATTTCAGTAATTCCATTTAAAAAGTGAAACTTGTACATTATATTCAAACATTACATACAAACTCATATATTTCAAATGTTTATTTCGTTTAGTTTTGATGATTACAAATGACAACAAATGAAAATCTCAAATTCAG